TGGAGAGAGCAAGCTCTTAATAGGTGTAGAGAAGACTGAGGGTGAGAGGAAACCTTTGAAATCGAGCTGATTTTTTGTTTGTTTGTTTGGCCTTAGTGGGTGGCAGAGCTGAATTGGGATTTGGACCAGGGGACAGCTAGCGGAGTTGGGCAGGCCTGTACCACTCCCAAAGGCCAGGAGCCTCCTACTCAGGACTTAGGCCCAAATTACTTTCCCTGAAGAGGTTTCCAGAGGCTTCTCTCACCAGCTGGTGGAAGGCCACGGTAGAGTCCAGCTCAGCCTTTCCCCTGCCCCAGCCTCATGTGGGGTTTCAGGGCCTCTCAGTCCCCCAGGCATGAAAGCCTGTCCCCTGGCCCAAGCACCGCTGACCAGGCAGGGACTTAGGTGGCTGAGAGTGGCTGCTGATGAGCATCCTGCTTTCCCTTCCCTGTACCCCAGATCTAACAAAAATGGTCTAGGGTGTGCCCAGTGATGGGAGAGACAGGCCACCAGAGAAAAGACAAGTGGAAGGGCAATGGAATAGGGGAAACATTTATTTGACTTCAAGGAAAGCTACAAACAAATACCAAAAGCGAATCACTGAGACAGGCCCGGCAAAGACAGATTTCACACGGAGCACAGCATCCACTTGCTCACTACAAATGGTCTCAGAAGCGAAATGGGTGGGGAGGAGGGGATGGGTCTGACCCAGACTATCCCCATATTTACAAGCTTTGGGCCCTCTATCCCAGACCCATCGATTCACAGAGAAATACACAAGACATTTTACACTGAGGATTATTTTTGTTTCCGGGTGCTCCCAGACCAGGCCTTGCGGGGCCTACCCAGACGGCAGGAACTTCAGTCTCACTATTTACCTTCCCTCTTCTCAACATCACTCCTTTGGTCCTCCCTAGCCCCCTCTCACCCCAGGACCAAGCCACTGGGAGACTTGGGCCTAGGAGTGGGGAGGGAGGAGGAAGAGGATGGTGGAAAGAGACACAGTCATGGACTGCTTCTCTGGAGGCCAGCTCAGCTGGGCCCCGGTGCTGCGGCATTACCCCACCTCAACTGCCGCCCCTTTTAGAGAAGTTTCAAGCTGAAACTCAAAATACTGCGATCATCTTTTTATAAATAAGTTAGAAGAACATAGATGGGGAGGGGAAAGTTCACATTAAACATGCGAGTTTCATTTTTTTCCTGGGGAAAGGAGTGCAACCACAGACACGAACATTCAGAAACACTGGCAGATTTGGGGTGAGCGGAGGGGAGTGGGGACCATGGAGGGAAAATAATAATTATCATTATTATTAACAATAATAACAAGATTAACCAGTCCAGGAGAGAGGGAGCCACAGGAAGACCTAAGACCAAACGAAAAATCGTAACACAGGGCCCGGGCGAGGCAGGCTCGTGGGAACCGGTCCCCAGCGGGCGGCGGCAGCGCGGGGAGGCTTGGAGGGGCCGGGGCTGGGGGGCGGCACGGGCTCTTGGGCCGCCCAGGGCTCCTCCCGGCGGGCTCAGGGCTGGAAGGCGCTGCCGGCTGTAGCCAGGCTCATACTTTTCAGTTTGTTGTCTTTCTTCCACTTCATGCGCCGGTTCTGGAACCAGATCTTGATCTGGCGCTCGGACAGGCAGAGCGCGTGGGCGATCTCGATGCGCCGCCGCCGCGTCAGGTAGCGGTTGAAGTGGAACTCCTTCTCCAGCTCTAGGGTCTGGTAGCGGGTATACGCGGTCCGGGCTCTTTTCCCGTCCGGCCCGGTCATATCTGGAGCAGACGGAGCAGAGCCGCGAGGCAACGTTATTCCGGTTAAGGGAGGGGGCACTGGGTGGGAGGGGGGCGTGGAGCGGGACCCAGGCGTCCCCGGCACCCAGCTCACTGCAGCTCCAATCCTCCCTACTCCAGATGCCCGAATCCGAGCTCGCTCTCTGCACCCCCTTCCCTGCAGCCCCCACTTCTGCCGGCAGCGAATGTGCCCGGCTTTGTCTCTTGCTCCCTCCTTGTGCCTCACCCTTCGCTGGGCTCAGGCGGCCGCTCGCCCCGGGAGGGAGGAGAGCGGTTGCACTTTTGCCCTGGAAAGCTCGTTTTGCTGCTCGCCCCTCCTCTGCTAGAAGCAGTCTCAACATTTCGGGGGACAAGCAGAACCCTTCCCCACGTTACTTAAACCCCATCCTTCATCCTAAAGCTAGTGTAGCTGGGCGAATAAAACCTAAGGCGAATCTGGAAACAAATTATTTTTAAAAAATGCTCCTCCCCAACCCCCCAGCTAAAGACCTTCTTTGGCTCTATCCCCCGAGCTGTGAGGACCCTCTTAGAGACTTCTCCCCCTCTGGAAAAAAATAAATCTATATTTGAGGAAAAGCCAAGCTCTCCTCGCTAACCTCCCCCTCCCCAAACGCGGAGAAGGAAAACCAAGAAGACAAAAAAGGGAGCGAGAATTACCATGGCTGATGTGAAGCTTCCTCATCCAGGGGAATATCTGCGGAGTCTGCCCCTCGGGCGCGGCTGTGGAGGTGGCCATGGGCTCTGGCTGCGCCCGAGCTAGGCTCGGGCTGCTTAGCTGGCTCGCCGCTTCCTCAGGCTCCGAGGACGCGCTGGCCTCATCTATTTCGGTGAAATTGGCGCTGGAGCTGGCCTGGGTCGCCTGGTCGGAGGGGGACGAAGCAGAGGGCTTGGCGCCGTGGCTGTCGCCGTTGGTGCAGGGCAGGGACTCGGGCGAGGACAGGGAGCAGCTCGACGCCGCTTGCCTGAAGCGGGGCTCCTGGGCGGGCGCAGGGAAGGCGCGCGAGCTCTCGCCCACCGCCCCAAAGTGGCTGGAGGAGGCCGAGGAGCGGTTGACGCTGAGGTCCATCCCATTGTAATTGTAGCCGTAAGAGCCGGTGTGCATGGCAGCGGGATCCCTGTAAGAGCCGCTCAGAGAGCTGCCACTGCCATAATTTAGCAACTGATAGTCCGGGCCATTTGGATAACGCCCCGAGAAGGAGTTTACAAAGTACGAGCTCATTTGGGTGATTTTGGAGGGCTTGATTTGTGGATCGTGGTCGTTATAACCCTGTGCTTCACGATTTATGATGTATTAATGAATTATAGCGATGCACTGTACTTCGTTTTGCTATGTATGCGGCCAAATATGGGGGGGGAGGTTGGAAGGGGGATGGGGGGGCGTTAGAGAATCACGTGCTTTTGTTGACCAGTCGTAAATTCTCGCTGATGACCTCAAGAGGTAATTCATGCTCTATGGTTACAAATAATGACGATCCGAGAATCGTTAGGGCCGATTCAATGCGAGCCTCGGAGAGAGGGGAAAAAAGGAGAAGGGGGAGAAACAGGGAGAAGGTTGACGGCAGCCTCTGAGCAGAGCGCGCCACCTCCCGGCGAACGGCGGGAGCACGGGCCGCAGACCGCCATGGCGGCGACGGCGACCTCCCTGCTGGCTCTGTGCTATCGCTCGGCTAAAAAGAAACCTGGCCTAGGCTCACCCGCAGGGTTGAATCTTTTAGAGGAAAGACCAGATTGAACCTTTACCCACTTATATGGAAGTGGAATTCGTCTCTCTGTGTCCTTCTCCCTGTCATTATTATTACTATTATTATTTTAACTCTGGATAAGATGATCAAAGATTGAGTTGCTCTTCCTTTACTGGGGCTTTGCAAATCTCAAAGTTGGGGGCGGAAATGAGAGGGAGGTTGGAAGATGTGTGAAAAACAATTATTGCAACTGGTTTCCTTGTGAGCTTGGCCTGGCCTGCTTCCTGACCCGGCTGCAATGGCCAGTCCACAGCATCCAGACTGAGCCGGCAGGGCTAAGCCAAGGGTTTGAAGGAAAAGCTTTCACTTCTCCTGATCCTCTTAGAAGTCTGGAATCCTCTTCCTGACTTCCTCCTCGTCCTTAGCCTACAACGGAGGGGTGGCAGAGCATGACAGGGACCCCAGAAGACAAGCCCAGCTGGTGCTAAGCGGCCTGGTTGTGAGAAAAACCGCAAGGTCTACAGCGTCGGGGATTGGGGTCTGGGTGTAAATGTGGCTCTCAGAGTTTGGGATCAAGGTAGAACCCTTTCACCTCCTCACCAGATGCCTGCTATTGCTTTGGGAAGCTCCACTCAAGGTCCCATTCTGGTGGCTGGGTAGTTTCAGAATTTGCCGAGAGGCCCACTCCTTCCCCAGAAAGGGGTTCCGAGGACCGGCAGTGCCTTCCTGAGCACTCTGGGCAGCCAGAGACCGCCACAGCTGGGCCCCTTCTGCCAGGCGGCTATTTTCTTTAAAAATAAAAAAGAGAGCGAGAAGGAGGAAGAAAGGAAAACAGTCTCTGCAGCTTGCTGCTTGGGTGAGGGGTGGGGTGGGGATAGAATGGGTCGGTTTTGGTTGATGGGATGAGACCGAACTGCCCCATCACCTGGCCTCCCGCCCTGAGGTCTCCAAAGAGCAAGAGAAAATCTTGTCCTTTACCCCGTGCCTGCTGATGGCCTCACATTCCCCTACTTGTCACTGAGCTACTACTTGAGACAGGAAGGGATGCCTGGAGCCTTTAGCTGCCAGCGGAGAGATAAATACCCAGTGGCCCCAATTTAGTCTCCAGAGCCACAGGCCAGGAGCGGAGGGCCAAGGCCGGCGGAGATCAGGCCAATGTGGGCAGGCCAAAGACGGCGGGCCTCAGCGATCATGCGGACAGAACAGTGCTGCTGAGGCGCAAGACTCGCCTGGCTCGGTCTCTGCAGGAGCTCCCGGCTAAGGGCCCTTGGTGGTGGTCCTCGTGCCATCGACAAACGAGGAAATGCTAGAGAATGAGTCCCCCAAGTCTGCACCAGGAGAGGCCGTTGTGAGCCTCAGTACTGGCGGGCGCGGTGCTGGAGCCTGGGCGGGACCGCTGCAGCCTTTATCTCAACTGTAACTTCCGAGTCGTGTCTGGCCCGCTGGGGCCGACCAGGGCTTCTGCCTTTGCTGCCGAGTTTCCGGCACGGGGACGCAGGGGTGGCGGTGGGGGTGGGGGAGTGGCAGGGGAGGAGCAGAGGTGACTAAGCGGCGAGTTTTTACATCTTTATTATTATTATTATCATTATTAATAATATTAATATTATTACCGAAGTATTTCACGTCCAGAACTAAGACAAGACTACAAACACAACACATAGAAAATTAATAAAATAGAACTTTGTTTTCTTCTGAGGCTCCTCTTCTTACTTCTAGGTAGTATGTGCTCCTTCCAGTGGCTTTGGGGAGGGAATGGGAGAGGTCTGGGGTCAGGGAGTCTTCGAGCCCCCCCGCTGAGGAAACTGCGAATCTACCATTGAACCGTGCACCGGGGACATGGAAGAAATGAGACGCGACACGGACAAGAGCATTCTGCTCTGCTTCCAGGAAACATCAAGTGAGTCCGGTCCTCAGTTCTCACAGGGGAGCCTGTTCGGGCTGAGGCGGTTCCGCAGGGATGGAGGGGGCGCTGGGGTGCTGGGTGGGCTCAGGCAGCATGGCCTCCCAGCACCCAGCGACAGATCTGCGGGCGGGGGTCCGGGAGAGCGCTGGGCCCCGCCTGTTGGGCTCAGGAGAGCAATTCCCCAGGCTCCCCCGCCCGCAGAGCCTTCTCGAGGCTCTCGGATGCCCTCGGCTCCCCAGAGGCCTCTCCCTTTGCGTCCCCCACAACCACCACCCTTTCAGCGCCTTCATTCGGCTGGTTTTTCTTCTTCCTCCTCGGCACTGAGCTGAGACGCGCTGAGCAGTTTGCTCTCCTTTTTCCACTTCATGCGCCGGTTCTGGAACCAGATCTTGATCTGCCGCTCGGTCAGGCATAGGGCGTGCGCGATCTCAATGCGCCGCCGCCGCGTCAGGTAGCGATTGTAGTGAAACTCCTTCTCCAGCTCCAGCGTCTGGTAGCGCGTGTAGGTCTGGCGGCCTCGCCGGCCGCTGGGCCCAAAGGAGGAACCTGTTACGCAGAAAGGAGATGCTGAGGCCTGGGGTCACCAGGGCCAGAGCTCCTCCCCCACTCGACCCTCAAACGTGGACTGTAGTCTGTCCCGGGATGCCCTCCACTCTCCCTGTTCCCTGTCCTCCGCAGCCCCCTTTCTCACTCCTCCAGCGCCCCCTCCAGATTCCCTCGGGGTCTCCTAGGCTAATGCCTTCTGTCCAGATTTTTGGTGGGGGATGGGAGGAACAGTTTTAAATCCCACCTGAGCCTAGGGGGAGGGGCTGGGGAAGCACTGGCCAGGTGTGTCTCTTCCTAGCCGCATCTTTTCCTTCCATTCAGCTGGCTCCCCCACCACCTTGTGATAGATTCCGGCCCTTAATCCGTAATGACGTGGATCGATCCACAGTCGGCATTAACGGCTCCTCACTTTCGTGTCCCGCTAATGGACATCAATTCGGGACTTAAGGCCGACAAATAATCCAACCTGAGACCCAGGCGCCTGCTTCTCCCTCTCTCCCCCTCTACTCGCTTCCTCTGTTTCTTCCCTTTATTCTCCGTCCTCTGACTACAACCCCTTTCCTGGTGCCTCATCTTTCCTCAGCCCTGACCCCCAGGGAAACCTAGTCCAGGACAGACTCAACTCTCTCTCGCCAGCGTCACGCCGCCCCCCTTCCCATGACGCACTCCGTTTTCAATGAACAGTCTTTGGGTGGGGACCCGACTAGAGCTGGGGGCGCCAAGGAAAGCCCAGCCATTGACTGCGAGGACGGGGTCCTGCCCATCTCCATGACCCAGAATCCCAGCTGCGGCCTGGCGCTCCGAAAGAACCCACTCGCTCCCCCTGGCTCCGAGTGCATCTGGGACTTTGCAAACTTTGCAACTCCTGAGGACGGGAGAGCAGCGCGGGAGACTCGGTGCAGGCGCCCAATCTTCCCTTAGCTCCAATCGAGACACCAACCCAGCACCCTGTGGGAGAATG